AGGGGCCATCACATTACTACTTCATCCCCCTCCTGGATCAACTTTGTATTTCTGGGTTCTGAAGCCATCAGCTCTGCTTGGCTGCTACACCAAACCTGAAGTTAAGATGTGAACTGTTGGCAGAAGGGCAGAGGAACAAGAGGCTGGCTGACCACTGTATTCCCTTATTGGACAGCTGGAGATCGTTCTGGTGAAATCTTGTGGGAATTCAGAAAATAGAATTTATTGTTGCAAATAATTCAGCCTAGGTTCTTCCCAGAGGCATCCTAAAGCACACTAAGCTTCTAGATCTCCGTCTGGTCCCATGATTATTTGGCTGGGTAGGCAACTGGGCATTTTGAAAACGATTCTAAAAGAGCAAATACAGTGGCTGTGTAGAACTGCTTTCAATCTTCTTGTGAAATCAAGTTGTGTTCAGCAGCCTTTATGCAGTTTTCACCAGAGGGAGGCAAAACAATGTTATTGTTTTTTAAACACAGCTGAAAATTAAAACTGACATGTTTACCAGGAAGAACACCTTGAAACATCAAAACAAGCTGAAAGCTAAGAAAATACTACTTGCCATTTTGCCAAGTAACCAAAAATGCTACTATATAATTTTTCCACTTGTGGTGTTTCTTGGCATAAGGTCACTTTGTTATCTAGAAAACAGATGAATTTGGGGAAAAAATGTACTGAACTGAATTGAGCCTTTGAGGTTTTCCCCTTAATTTGATCAACAAGACTTCCTATTGGGGAAATAAAGAAAAACCTTGACTTTGTATTTCTGTCATCTTATTTTTGTATGAAATCTGGCCAATTTTTAACTTGCAAAGAAAATGTTCCCATGTAAGTTTTAGATACCACATGGGCAAATATTTATATATTGTAAAAGGTACATTTTTCAGTTAAAATTATGGAGTTATTATTATTCCAATTCTAATTTATCTGTATTCAGGAGTGAACTCCTATACATTACTACTAGTATTAAAAATAAAATATCTAAAGGGTCATTGCATACCTGGTCTTTAGGGACCATAGGAGATAATAGGGGTTATCTATTGGGGAGAGCAAAGTCCTGAATAGGGGTTGATCACATCAAAGCATGTGGACATGTCTTCTCTCCCAAGGCACCAAAGTTCAAGTTTCAAGGGCTTTAGAAATGCAGGATTTTCCATTCTATATTAGATCTACAACTTTAGATTAGCAAACCCTTGGCAATCCTGCCCTCTGATATGTATTGAGGGTTTGGCAGTTTTCAGCTGACAGTCCTGGCCATTTAAAGAACACCAAATCTATAGCACATATAAATATTCTCATCTTCTATCCACTCATCCTTGGACATTTAAAAACTTACTGAAAATCTCATCACATAAACTGGAGATTAGATTCCTGGGCAGGGTCTAGAAAGTATGTATTAAGCTCATCAATAGTGCATGGGATTTAATCTATACATTTTCAACCTTCCATTTTTATTCTGAGGGAACCTGGGTAAGGAAGCCTAAAAACCAGCAAAAGACAGATAAGGGCCAGAGGACCATAATTAAACTTTCAAATACTGGAAATATTGCTTTAAAGAGAGGTCTTCCTTAATTTAAACCTGTAATCCAACAATTCAGGAACCCATATACCTATTCCATTGTCTGACGGTTTACAGGAAGGGTGATATTTTCTGCTACAATTGATGGGCAGTTCAGCCAAGACCCTAGTCACCGGCTGTAATGGGCAGGTGGCTGGGACCTTGGATATTGTTGCCCGTATTCAGCCTTGTACACTGATCCCAAGGTGTACATTGTTTTACCAAGGAGCTCCAAGATATGAAGTTCCAGAAGAAAGGCCTGGAGTGCTGTTGGAAGAATCTTGAAGTGAGTCTGACTGGACATGGGTAAGAGCTCATATTAGGGATTACCTTGTGGTGATAAGGGTGGTCAAATGTCAATATTTCTCCACCCTTATTGCATCTGCTGATAGCCATCCAGTGGCCCTGCTTAGGGTGATCTGGTCTTTCCTTGGTAGGGAAGACGCCCAGCACGTCTGCTAGACTGCTGTGAGGATTATTGATTGAGGGCACCATTTATGGTGGTTCTGTTCCTTTCTCTGGAGCTAGTTCCATTCAGTGTTGGTTATGAGGGGAAGGGGAAGAGTTAGCTCCCTAAGCCCCTCTTTTGTGGGGTGCTGCTATTCTTTCTCCCTTTCTTTTCAACACCTGCATGAAACCACTGGGTGAGGTCATCTGCTGGTTTGAAGTTCGATATCATCAGTACCCTGAAGATATCCAATAATATCTTTTGACCCAAGGCCAGCCAAATAGGGCTGTTCTTGTTCCAGTGCCTAGATGCTGTGCATATTTGGATAGGGAGAAACCATCTCCAAATCAATCCATCCAAGACTAAGTGCCTTTGGTAGGATTGTGAGTGTTTGAGCTCTCCAAATCTGGAGATATTCCATCTTTGACCTTGGATGGGCTTGCACTTTCACATTCAAGGGTGATGCACAATCAAGGGTGATGCACAAGGGTGATGCACAATCTGGACTCATAGCTCCTGCTTGATAAGCAGGTGGCATCTATGGCCAGGAAGGCCTTTGCACAGCTTCATCTGGTTGCCAGTTGTACCCTTTCCTAGATCAGGAGGCCCTTGATACTCACTCACACCCTGGTCACTTCATGGCTTGACTACTGCAATGTACTCTACATGAGGATGCTCTTGAAGACCACCCAGAAGCTTCAGCTGGTCCAAAATGCAGTGGCATGGGCAGTGATGGGCATGCCTCAGTATGCTCATTTAACACCTCTGGTTCACAAGCTGCACTGGTTGCCTGTTTGCATGATTCAAGGTGCTGGTCATTACTTATAAAGCCCTACATGGCATAGGAACTGGTTACTTGAAGGACCGCTTGTCTTGATCTGGCAGGGTTGGTGTGCTTCAGGTTTCTTCAAATAAATAATGCCATCCATCAGGACCCTGGAAGTGCGCCTTCTCTGTAGCAGCACCTGCCCTCTGGAAACAGTTTCCCCTGAAGTTTTGAATAGTCTCCATCCTACTGGTGTTCCAAAGGGCCTTGTGTAAGTTTGTTTCTTTTCATTCCTGTCTG